TTAAATAATTTAAATATTTACGACTTTAATACTGTGTCTAATATACGTTATTCTTAAAATTTTTTCTTACATATCGCTTGACTCTATCTACAATTTTTGTATTTCTTTTTCAATCCTTTAGAATGAGATTGTCACAAAATCTGTTCTTACCCTAATGTAAATAATCGACGCGATAGTTTCTACTGTGCACTCGAGATAAAAAGGTTCAGTCTTTCAGAGTCTCTGAAAGCGAGACTCGAGTCTCCGTATCTCATCGAGTATCTCTGGTGTCGCTGAGAGAGACTTTAAAAAAAACTATTTAGCGTCTCTGAACGAGAGACTCGAGTCGCTCATAGAGAGTTCCTCATTTCGTATCCAGTCTCTGAACGAGAGACTCGAGTCGCTCATAGAGAGATCCTTATTTTGTATCCTGTCTCTGAACGAGACTCGAATCTCTCTATAATAGGTGTCTCGATAGACATGGTTAAAATGTTCTAAGTTCAACATATTTCAGAGATCCCAGTCTTTATACGAGAGAATCGAGTCTCTCAATTTATCAGTTTTATTCATTTAATCTCTCTGTGAGAGAGTCGATCTNTGTCGCTGAGAGAGACTGTCAAGAGACAGTCAAAAAAACTGTTTAGCGTCTGTGAACGAGAGACTCGAGTCGCTCATAGAGAGATCCTCATTTCGTATCCAGTCTCTGAACGAGAGACTCGAATCTCTGAACGAGAGACTCGAATCTGAACGAGAGACTCGAATCTGAACGAGAGACTCGAATCTCTCAATAAGTGGTGTCTCGATAGACATGGTTAAAATTTTCTAAGTTCAACATATTTCAGAGATCCCAGTCTTTATACGAGAGAATCGAGTCTCTCAATTTATCAGTTTTATTCATTTAATCTCTCTGTGAGAGAGTCAATCTCTGAACTAACAATTTTATCGTTCAAGTCTCTCATACAGAAACTGTGAGAGATCCATAAAAACACCTAGGCAATAACTGAGAGACTGTAAAAGACTGTAAGAGACGCTCTCAGAGACGCTGAAAGACTGAAAGACTCTGAGAGACTGGAGAGAAACTGAAAATTTTTGTCTAGGGCAGTGTAGCGGTGACAGTGTGCATCCTTGTCTGACTCCCTCCCTAATATTTGAGTGCTGAAAATAAAATATGGTTAATGTCGTAAATGTTGTAAATCATTCTCATTATTTTAATAAAATTAGGTACATGTTTAATAAAGGAAATTGAGTTACAACTGAAACCATTATTTTTTTCGACGCTATTGGTGCTCCCTTAAAAATTAATAGGTTTATTCCGCAGAGTAAATATACCTACATGTACAGAGAGATGAACATCTGACAGTTAAAGGTAATTTTGACTTCCGCATGTTCCACTTGAGTGCGGGCTAAACAAATTTTCCATTTCAGCGCGCAGCAGTTTCACTGTTAACACTTGCATGCAGTTCCGTCCTGAAGCATCCCCAAATTTAATGACTGAGTGTTTACATTAATAGACATTGCTGTAATCTATAGTCCGTATTTTAGTCTATGCAGAAATATCGTAGAATAATTTATGTACTAGCTGTTTTATTGAATAGCTTTATGGGTGTCAATAAGATAGGTATATTTTCTCCTGAAGAATTTTTGGTTTTTATTCAGGTATATATTTACTAAGGGTAATTGTAATTAAGATAAAAGCCAAATAAAGTCAAATACTTTAATATGTATGTGACAAGGAATAATCGCTTTTAAGGTAAGCAAGTTAACAAAGCAAATTATATTATCATTAATTAGTTATAAAAATAGTAAGAATGATTAATCTGAGTTTTCGCTATTATTATCAGAACACTGTGACATAGCGGCGTCGAAGATGTAGTTACTGTAATTGACCATTTGAGATTTTTTTCTTCCAAGTACCTGTTGTGTCCTAAATACCAGAGAACTGCAGCTACATGTGCACAACAGCCCACGACTCGTGTACATACTTTACACTGGCAGTACCATCCACAAACTGGTGGTGAAAGACAATTATTATATTGAATCCATGCATTAGGTATATATTTTTTGAAGATGAATGTCGCGATTGTAATTGAGCACGGATTATATCATTTCTTTCCTTGTGAGCATCCAGCTCATACAGCCCTAAATCATTAAACTGCTGTACCACTTACGTATACGTTCGCGCAATATATGACTGGACCAACACTTTAATATTTATATACATTATTGTTAACAATATGCTACATCACATATGGTAAGGTAAGAAATATTACCCAAAACACACGGAGTATATAATCTAGTATTGAAAAACTATATTAATTGGGTTCTGTGCTATTATTGAATTTTTCGTGAATTACAGGGGTTATTGACACCCATCCTTTATATAAATATTTAATCTTTTAAGTCCGTTAGATGCATTAAATTTTTGTAGTGGAAAGCAGTAAATTGTATAAATTATTTTGTAGTTTCAGTTCTTGATAAAAGTTTAAGATTAAGTTGCGCTGAACCCATTACAATGTAATTCGCCCAAGGTGGCATTCTGAGTTAGATAATAAATTACAAGTTGGTCTAAATTCTGAAATTAATCAGGATCACCCCTAAAACATTTTGAAAATACTAAGGAAACAATTGACAAAACCGTATTATTTGAAAATAAATAAAAGTAAAACAAAAGTGCTGACATACAAGGAAAGAAAGTAAGGAAAGGGTGAATATAAAGATAGGAGACGAAAAATTAGAAGAAGCGGCTGATTTTTGGTATCTAGGAAGTCAGATAACGCTGAATGGAAGGAGCAGTAGAGATATAAAACAGAGGATAGCGTAGAGTTGAGTCACCTGCAACAAAAAAAGTCATTTATATTCTCGCGAACGGTTAATTCGGAAATTCCTAAAATTTTGTTAAAGGTGTCTGTCTGTAGCGCGGCGCTGTACGGGTGGGAAACATGGACAGTCGTCACGGCAGAAAAGAAAAGGTTAAAAGTGTTTGGAAATATGGTATTGCAGGTGAATGATAGGGGTACCGTGGGCAGAGAAGGTTAGAAATGAAAAGATGTTAGAAATAATAGGAGAACAGAGGACTCGACTGCGAAAGTCAATAAGAAATAGAGGAGATAGGTTGATCAGGTGAAGGTCTAGTTAGAGAGATATTAGAGGCAAAAACAGGAGTTAAGATGAGTAGAGGTAGATCTAGATTAGATTACTGTTCACAAATATTTAGGGATGTTGGTGTTTTAGTTTTAGAAAAATGCGAAGATTAAAGCAGGACAGGACAGAGTGGTGATGCGTGTCCAAACAGTCTTAGAATTGACGATCTTATGGTGATGATGACTGGCTTTTTTTACAGTGTACCCATCAAACACTTTAAATAGATTACCTGTGTTAGTCAAATTTATGTTATATTGAAGCATGGCCATAATAAATTTTGGGTTCCTAAACATATAGAAAAAAACTTCAATATGATTAGCAGATTAAATTCTTAAATCTACGTAAATTTCACAAGTCCAACGTGTGGTTACAAATAAGTCTGATTTTAATTAAAGTAAATAACCATTACATTCATTACATTCCAGATATTACGTGCGTTCTTAGGTCATGCAACGAAACCATACACCATAAACCTTTCGTTCGGTTAAATTGATGTTATATATACCTACACATCTTGTACAAGTTTATATGTAAAAAAACAACGAAAAGTTTGAAGCTACAACTTACCCATTTATGGCATCCGAACACCTGGCCTGCTCAATCATGCATCATACACTTAAGTAGATGTCTGAAATAAAAGGTGATTTTTTAAGTAATCACTTGAATCACGCAAGAAGATGCTGAACAATATAGTTATGACCAAACTAAACCAATTTCACATATTAAAGAGAAAGTTAATGCTTATAAATACACAATACGTAGGTGTAAAATATTGTAATCATATAGAACTTTCTCTACAGAGTGACTTATGAATATCACGAAAACCTTTTCGCGATTATCACGATAAGAGAATTCAAGCTCACTAAAAGTAAAGACGATTACAATGCATTCCATGTAAACAAGATTATGTAAGGGTCCAGATAAGGCAGGCGCAGATTCATAGAGTTTTTATCAGGGGATTGCAATTATGAGAACTCCCTATCGCGCAAATCTGATTTCGTGGTTAGTGTATGTATGAAAGCAAAAGTTGGGTCAAAATCGCAGAATGTTAATAATGACCTTCATAATTCATTCTAGGTACTGGATAGTAACAGCATTGTTTCTTATCTATAATATAAATAAATTGCTTTTGGATACTTCTTTAAGATGTTTGACATGGAAAAATTACTTATTAAGGATGTTTGGGAGGTACAATCGGAGACAAGAGTACATAAAATTAGAAATTTGTGATTAATTAGGTTTTACAGATAACATGAGGTAAATAAATTTTATCTACACTAAAAGAAAAGTATACGGTTTGAGAAAAAATTTGGAATTTGACTAAAAACTTTAAATAAAATAAGAAATAACGAATANTTGCAATTATAAAAGTTTGAAATTTCTGGTAGCTTTTTTTCTGTTAATAAAAATAAATTTAATCTGTTCGGTTAACGAATCTCCATAAAATGACGCGTAAAATTATAATTTTTTAAAATTGCAAAAACTGTTTAACGGTTTAGTGAATCGATTTGCAATTTTTACAGGAGTATTAGAATTGAACGGGGAACGTTGTTTGAAATTTCTGGTAGCTTTTTTTCTGTTAATAAAAATAAATTTAATTTGTTCGGTTAGCGAATCTCCTATAAAATGACGTGTAAAATTACAATTTTTTAAAATTTCAATAACTTTTTAACGGTTTAGTGAATCCATTTGTATTTTTTACAGGAGTTTTAGAATTGAATGAGGAACGTTCTTCCAAATTTTTATTTGTCTCGTAGCATTTTGGCATACCTCCCAAACATCCTTAACTCATTATTATTACTATACCATTTGGACGAGTGTTATATGAAACTTCTATCAGTTAGTGAAAGTTTTCCTGTAATTGGATATGTTTTTTACAGAATCTGCTTCGTCAGACGAAAACCCGGAAGTAATGGGCGTATCTGAACAAGTAACTCCAAATGCAGGTTCAGAGCCTCGACCTCCCGTACCCGACCAAAGCAATGGCAGTGACTCTGAACCGGATGATTACGCACCAAAAAGAAAACAACGTCGTTATAGAACTACGTTTACGAGTTATCAGTTGGAAGAATTAGAGAGGGCGTTCTCCAAGACGCATTATCCAGACGTCTTCACAAGGTCAGTAGAATATCAATACGCTTCAGTATAATTGTTCATTACACCAATTAAATTTTCCTCATATATTATACACACTTGCATTAATTAATCTGAACATTGGTTTGGTATTGATAAATAATGGATGTACTAATAATAAATTAAAAGAGTATAATTCAGGTCATTAATTTATACATTGTGTAAGCCCCTCTTGCCTTAAGAACTAATTGTATTTGTTTTGGCATCGATTCCACTATCTTCTGACATTGGCTCTTCAATATCTCTCGTAAAGCCAAATACATGGCATCTTCGAAATCCAATGTAATTGTTGCTATTTTTCAGTCAGGGATAATTTTAAGTAGGAGGCGCAATATCCTTGAATAACTTTCCTTTGTTTTGTTTGGCAGTAATGGTACGATGGTCTTTTTTTCGCGGTCTCTCTGTATGATGAATAGAATAGAGTTGTGCTTATGCAAATTGTTTTGACCAACTCCTAAACGTACCATCTTTTATCCTTCAGAAACATTAGAATTGTATTTCTCAAAATTATTTACTTTTCAATGGCGATTATTATTTACACAATGAAGGATTGGCTGTGAGAAATTCCTAAAATGCATTGTTGATGATATCTTAGTCATCATCATCATCATCATCATATGGTCGTCAGTCCTAAGACTGATTGGATACGCACCTCCACTCTTTCCTATTCTGAGCTAAACTTTGCTTTTCCCTAAAATTAAAACATTCGACATCCTTAACTGTCGCGCTTCAAACATATACTTTTAACAATCTGTTTCGAATTTCTAAATTAACCGTTCGGGAGCATAGAAGTTACTTCTTTTTGTTGAAGGCGACTCGACCCTGCGTTATCCTCTGCTTGATTTCCTTACTGCTCCTTCCGTCCTGACTTATTTGACTTCCTAGGTACCTAAAATCAGCCGCTTTTTCGTCTCCTATCTTTTTACTTTTTCTTCCTTTGCATACCAGTATTTTTGTTTTACTTTTGTTTATTTTCATACAATACTGTTTTATCAATACCGCTTCAATTTTATTCAAAGCTATTTCTAACTTCTCCTTGCTAAATCTAAATATACTAACACTTTGCCCCTCTATATTTATCTCTACAGTTGTACTGTCTTCAACGATGTTGATCGCGCCTTCGATGTATAGATTAAAAAGTAGCGATGGCAGTGGGCATCCTTGTTAATGTTTACTTCTCTACATTGCAGCTCCAGCTTTATTGTTTGTTGTGAGAAAATATATTTTAATTGAAAGAGTTCTTTCTGGTATTCTCACTTTACACGCCAAATTAATTGCGAGCAAACTATTTTATGTAAATGATAACGATTGTTGTTTTAAATATTTAATAGTCAACACTTAACTTACACGTAGAATTAAAATAAACTAAATGAATAAAAATAAATGTAAAAGTATAAAGTAGGCTCTATGATTGAAAGTGAATTATTTTGTCTTGTTTGTTGCTTTGTTGATACTGTTATCGATACTGTTTTGATACTGATTCGATACTGTTTTGATACTTAAATAGTTTCGCCAGTGGGCGTTAACAATAGCACTGAGGGTGCAGGGCGACCTGTCAGTCAGGTCAATACCACATTTCAGGTACAGACAAAATACATGAATTTAAATTTGGAAATTACAGTAATATAGCGAACGTGACTTTTCAAAGGAAGAAATGTTACAATAAGATAGTAGAATACATTATAAAATTTATGGTTCAAAAATACTGAGATTACTGTTTGCATTTGATAAATAATATATACCTGAAAATTGTAGCTAAATAATAAAATGAATAATAGAATTGAATTTGTATACAAATAGAAAATAATACTTAAAATTTCCGACAATAATAAAATTAGTATGCAAAATAAAATAAACCTATAGTATTGTAAAGATGCAACAAACTGCCTGTTGCTCTTCATGTAAACTAAGTATCAGTCTGAGTGTATGATTTTTATTATTAAGTGTAGAGTTATTATTTAATTTTTAATGAACCTAAAATTTTTGACCGCTTTTGGTACCGACCGTATCTGATTGAAATGACCGAGTATGCGTGGCAATATGTCAGGTTATCATCTTCAAAACTTCCATGTATTTTATAAACGAGTCCGCTAGTTCAGTGAGGACCTTATCATAGGTGCAGATTTTAAATCTTGTTTTTGAGTTATGCCTGAACCCGGGATATTTTTACCTTGCTTTCCCCCCTCCTAACGTTGACCGTTATATTTGATATTTCATTCAAACATAACTTAATCCAAATAGTTTTCAAGGTGTTATGCGTTCATGCATCAATGTATTAATTTTTATTTTTGTTGTTGCATAATTACGGATATTTATTATTATTCAGTGCACTAGTGTTGAAGAGTTTTAAGTTAAAGACCATTAAGACTGATAAATAATTTTAAAGACAATTTACATTTAGAAATGTCATAGCATTTTAAGCATGATTAAGACGAAAATATATCATTAATTTGTATTTGGTTGTAGTTGATCTTCACCTGTATGGTGTAAGACGAGGCAGTACCACGTAAAAACGAATTTCAATTTTCAATGTTATTAAAAAAAGAAACAAAACAATCTTTCAATAACGTCTGACAGAGTTTTCCATTAAACCGTATAAACGAGGCCGGGCCTGTCAAAATGTGGATACTTAACCGCGTGATACCTAATCATAATGAAAACTAATAACATGGGCAATTAATGTAAAATGGTATGCACTTTTGAGAAAAGAAAATTGAGAGGTAACAGCCCATGTCCATCGTGCACCTGCGTCTATCGTAATGGTAATGGCTGTCGAGCTTTTATAACATGACAACGGCGGCGCGACGACCCAAAGCGACACAAAATATGGCAACACTGATGCGATGTGATCCGATACGACGCGATGAAAGTTCGTTCATTCGTTCGTTCGCTTGCTTTCGGTTTATAATAATAACACAACCTTCTACTTGTGCAATTAGACGACGGTAACCGGTGATTTCCGGCCATTACACGACCAACCGGTAATGAACACTCACTTACCCATTATCTAGGGGCTGCTGTGTTTTTTTTTTCCTTCTGCACTGCAATTATTTTTTGTGTGCGGGCACTGGCTGACACCGACAAGCATCGTCACTTTTTTGGACAATTATGTCAAAATCTACAAGTTGAAAACCGATTACGCTCCGTTTATTTACTTCGTTTGCCCTTTCTTAAAGAAGTGACCGAAGTGTTGAAAATATTATATATACACTGAAAATAAAATATTGTACGGTTTTCGATATTAGTTTTAATAAATGCGTTTTTGTTTGACAAAAGTATGTTAATATTATTTAAAAAATAATAATAATAATGATGGGCGCAAAAACATTTTCTTCGGGTTTTGAAAAATTGAAAATCAGAGCTAGAACTAGTTGAACCAAGCCTAACCTAACCTATAAATCTATTACGGTATTGTTCGTTCATTTAGAAAAAGATGCACCATAAACGATGCGGACAAATGAATATCTGGCATATGCAAAAGAGAGTAGGAATATGATCGGTTGTTTACTGTTAGATATTAATCAAGTAGCGCACTTGTCTGTTGGCTATCATTCTGTCATTTGTTTTGTTCCTGCTTAACATTGTGAAATCTTTTTACTGTGCGAAATAGTGAAAAATCAGTACTTTTTTATCTATTTGTTTTATTTATTTATTTCAATATCAATTTATCTTTAGATATAGTATATTTCCCATACAAATATGTATTTTATAATATAATTAGACATATCATCGTATATTGTGATATTTAAACAAAAATTTCAATTTTCTGCAATTTCAATATTATTTATTTATTTGTTTTTGTTGTTACTAAAAGCGCTGACTTGTACTTTTATGTACCGACTGTTATCCTCTTATTTTGTTATATGTTATATGTCGATATGACATCGTGTACTTTTCTTTAAGTGAACGGACTATAGCTCGGTAGGTATTTTCTTTTGTTTACAGAAATCATGGGCGTTGTGAGAGATTTTTACTAGGGCGGGGCAGATTTTCAATAGCTGTAAGTTTATACAGATTTAATGTGTTTGGTTATTTCTATATATTTAAACATTATGCCAATATGGTGACTTTTCCGGGGGGGGGGCAATAAGTTTTCCATAGAGAGCAGTGCCCCTCCTTGCCCCTACCTATCTACGCTCATGACAGCAATGTTCTGTAAAAAAATGCCCAATTTTGGAAGGTTGGAATTGGGTTAACTTAGGTACAATTCAACTAATTCTGATTTTCAATTTTTGGAAGCTTGTAAAACTATGCCAAAAAATGGTTTCTTGTTCAGCAACGTAAACTTATACTATTCAAAGATTTATTAAAAAAAATTTATATAATTTTATCAAAAGCGGAACATTAAAATCTAATCAAATTATATGTAGGGAGCACAGTTTCCGTAAAAAAAGTAAAGTTAACGGTTTGTAATGCTCTCGTTACTCAAAAAGTAAAGGGAGGAGAGGGAACTTTTTAAAAATAAGTAGGGTTCTCTAGATTTCTGATTAAAAAATTGACGTATCCTTGATTGATCCTAGTTTGGCAAAGGACCATTATCTGTAAGGATCTAGAGGGATGTTTTGCGACATGTAGTTGGGATCACCAATTTTACTAGAACAAAAATGGACACCGAGAACAGGAGAATCTATTTCTTTTAAATATTACAAAAGTCACTAGCAAATTTTAATAACTTCAATAAGTGAAAACATTGTGACAATGTATACAAATGCGTATGTAAATAAATAACCGAACGACGTACGAAACATTAAAATAAATAAAAAAATCACCTATCGTGATGATGAATAATTAGTTTGTAATTAAAAATAAAATTTATCGATGCAACCAATTATCAGGAAATGTTTACGAGTATAATACATCAATCACATGTCATCGCCTTAACTAAATTACGATAATCGTAAATAAATTGCATTATACCACTACCGCTTGCAATTTACGCTTGCTTTCCCAATTAACTTCATTAAAACATTTTTTTGCATACAAAT